AGAACTTGTTAATATAGCCCTTCTCTGACACTGAGCAGAAATCTGAGGAAAGAACGTGCAAGGATGGGGCTAAATTGACGAGATTAAAGTGAACACAAATGGAGGATGGCAACACAGGCCTGTATTCCTGGGGGTTAGCAGAACAAGATAGGATTTAGAGTTCAAGACCAGACTAGGCTACCTAGCCTGAAAGAAACCCAAAGTACACGTGGTGCAGGTATCTTTACACAAAATCCAAAGGATGCAAATAGCTATAGACCTGGACTGCAGTGCTCCAAGTCAGTCAGCAGGCAGGCATCTAGAACGCTGGCAACTCATTTCCGAATGCAAAATGTATGTCTGTGTGTGCAACTTCAGTGGGCTCTAGCACTGGGTTTCTGTGTATCCCTGGCTGTCCTGGAATTCATAGATCTGCCTGCCTTTGCCTCCTGAGTGTTGGAATTAAAGGTCTGAGCCACCACCACCCAGGAGAACCCATTTTCAACAGAAATAGAAACCAGAGTTGTTTTCTATGTTTTTAGAATACAGAGAAAAAAATTACACCATGGTTATTGCATAAAAGGGGGGGGCTGGAGAAATGGCTCACAGGTTAAGAACTCTAGGGATTCTTAACCTCTAGACTGCCCCTCTAGGGGTTCTGAGTTCAATTCCCAGCAATCACATGGTGGCTCACAACCATCCATGAGATCTGGTGCCCTCTTCTGGCTGCAGGCATACATGCAGACAGAGCACTGTCTACACAATAAAATAAATTTAAAAAAAAAAACAAACAAAAACCTGGAAAAGCACATGAGAAAGAATGCAGAAACAAAATGCCATCACTCACGAGGCAGAAGTAGGTGGATGTTGGTGAGTTCAAGACAAGTCTGGTCCTCTAGAATAACAGCCAGTGCTCTTCAAAGCTGGACCATCTTTCTAGCTGCCTCTTATGTTTTTAGGTATTTGATTTTTTATTTGTTCTTGTTTATTTGAGATAAAGTTTAACTATGTATCCAATAATGGCTTGGAACTCTCAGCAGTCCTCTTGCTTAGCTTCCTGTTACTGCCTTAGTTGGTGGGTGAACCTGGGAGAGTAGAGCCTAAAAATGAGGCAGACTAAAGTCTCATGAAATAGCCAAATTTATTCAGAGCATCAGGCAGTTTACATACGGAGGGTTAAACAAGGTCATATAAGCAAAGTTCACTTGAGTTCAAGCTGTATACACTTACAAGGGCAAGGCATGTTCATGTAAGTTTAGAGTGTATACAGTCACATCATTGAATATTAAAAAGTGGCAGCATATAATCCCTAGCAAACCCATTCATATTCACAACCAGGAAGAACACGGAACTGGAACAAGTCTGCTAAGAGCCTCAGGAATTTATTTATGTGTAGGATAGGATAAACACATGATACAGAACCAGTTAAATGTCACCACTGATGAGCTGCTTTCGTCCAGTCTGCCCAGGAGTAAATAAAGAGCACCAACAGCAAGCCACCTTTCACTCCAAGAAAGTTCGGAGAGCTTGTGGCCCCAAAAAGTCATTGGCTAAACTGATGGAAATCCCAATACTTTCCCTTTCTTTCTAAACAAGTTCTTCTAATCCTAACATAAAACTATTTACAATAAGAACAAGTATCAAGTATTGTGAGGGAGAACAGGTAATAGCATAAACAAAAATGAAACTACAGCCAACAAGAACATCAAGAAAAAAACACACACTAAATGTCTAGGCCATGGGTAAATGGCAAATTAAAGATTTCTCCAATAGCTGTCCTATCATGGAAAGTCTAAATCTTGTACCTAATATGCCCTAGCTAAGATACATAACTATCTAATCTTCAACCCCATCAAAGACCTGAGAAGGAAAATATTACCTGAGTAAGCAGAAAGTGCAAGCAAGCGACTTCCAAAAGAAGCAAGAAATAACAGAAACAGCTGGCTGCCTGGACAGTCACCCAAAGTTTCTATGTAATGTTGGGGCATCCAACTTTGGCTATAGATCTAGAATATCTGACAGACCATTTTTCAGAAGCAGGAAAAATTTGAAAGACCCTGTCCTGGAAAGGTTTAGCAGTCACTTTTCTTTGTATCCTGCTTGTCCAGATTGAACAGTGATGCTTACTGTCAGCATTTATGGCAAGGGCAGTTCTTTGCCCAATAGGTCAGTTTTGCCAAAAAAGAAAACAAGCTCCACATGGAGTGTCTTCTGTGCCCACCATTCTCTCGGGAGTGGATCAGTGCTGCCAGGAGCAGTTGTGTCTCAGAATTCTAAGTTATTAAAACATTTGAATGCCATATTCTGTAGGTCTTTGAAGTGTTTGAAGATTACCTATCTATATGGAATACATCTTTATGTATCTTGAGAACCTACTACTAACTATAATTATAACAAACATGTGACTATTAACCTGGCCTCAAACTCACAAAGATCCACCTGCCTCTGCCTCCCGAGTGCTGGGAGTAAAGGTGTGCACCACCAACACCCGGCTTAACCTGTAATTCTTAATAACCTATTGACTTATAGACTAAAGCTTCACATTATAAAAATAAACAATCCATAAACAGATGTACACTTAAGACAATGACCTTGAAACAGTGACAATATTAAAAAAAATCTTAATTAGAGTTAGAAATGTATGGTGCAATATGACAAAACAAATTCTTAATTTGCATCAACATATAAAATATCTTGAACAGAAGTAGAAACATACAATATGACAATAATTTTATGTTTGTGACAATATACAAATATTGTAAGCAGAAGTAGGAACATATATTACAAATACAATTCTGAATTATCATAAACAGGAATAGGAAAATAATTTTACATTTGTATCAATATACAAGATTTCACACCATTGCAAATTGTCTAAAACTGATAGTTGCTATTTTAAGTTGCAAGTAGATACAATAATCTACCTTATTGTCCTAGCCTGTCTATCCCTCTTTTTTCTCCTTTATTGCCCCACACCCAGCCCTAAACAACTTGCAACCAATCCTTACAGATGACAATTATCCACCACCTTGAGAAAAACCAAAAACCCACCCATCCCACCTATTGGGAGAGGCGACGTCGAATTCTTATAATTGCTTCCTGCTGTCCAGGGGACGACGATATTTCTATGGGATCCTGTAAAATACTAAGGCAATGGTTAAGTCTCATGAGTACTAAGTGTATCATTTATAGCCAGTCTTCGAAGTTCTTATCTGAAGTTTCTGGCTAGAGTATTGTAAGAAGGTGGAGAATCTCAGCTAGCCACCTTGAGCAGTGTGTAATCCCAAGCTAATATTTTAAGTGGTGTTTATGAACCAGGTAGAATAGTTGTGGGGCCCTATCTTCCTTCTGGAGACTTCAAGAGATCACTCTTACAATTTATTATCAAAACAGAGAGATTAAATTTTAAGATAGCACTATATCTAAAGAGTAAAAATAAGTATAGGAAGACATAGAATTTTGGGGAGACAATAGTCCCTAGATTTTATGGTTTTCTTCTGTCCCACACCTGGTGGCTCTTCTGATGAGACAGAAACTCTGTTTTTTTCTTTTTAAAGATTTATTTATTTATCACGTATACAGAGTTCTGCCTACGTGCCAGAAGAGGCCACCAGACTGAACTGTAGATGGTTGTGAGCCACCATGTGGCTGCTGGGAATTGAACTCAGGCCCCCTGGAAGGGCAGTCAGTTCTCTTAACCTCTGAGCTATCTCTCCAGCCTGAAACTCTGAATTTTTCTTTTAACAACTTGCTTGGATTTAGAGGAGAGAGCCACACCCTAACTCTAAAGCCAGCTTTAGTTTTTAATTGAGTTACAACTACATAAAGACCACCTGATAACATGACTGTAGAGACCAGCAAAACCAAACATTTCTAAAGGCATATGAAATTTTACCCTGTTGAAAGTACACCACTCGGCCAGATTATTCCTTTTCTTGGTATTTTCTGGATAGTTCTCCCTTTTTTAGATACTTATTTGTCTAAGTCTTTAAATTTCTGAAGAGGGATTTTTTTTTTTTTCCTGGAAAGACAAAACAAAACCCTGCCCCAACCCTAATTTCGTAAGTTTTTCAACAGGTTGAATCGAGACGTAGATGAATTATCAGCTCTCCTAATCTAGAGGTCTTTCTTAGTCAAATTGAATGTTTATTAATTTTGAAGTATGCATAGCTTTTCTTTTCCTGTGGAAACAAAAGCAAAAACGCCTTCCCCAGCATAATAAATATGCTGATTTCCATTCCAAGGTCAACACACCATTAAAGTATACAGGCAAAAAAAAAAATTGAACCCTGTCCCAAGCATTTAAGGCTGCTGTATGGCATAGGGACTGAAAGACCTCGGTGGCTCAGGCCCCCAGGATTTCAGTCCAGGACCTCGGCGACCCCAATCACCAGGCAGAGGTGAATGCTTGATGCAAACAGCAAGAGGCTTTATTCAGCTATTAGCGCACTGGGGCCAGAACTCAAGCTCCCGCAGGAGTTAAAGAGTCGCACCCCAAGCTCAGGATTGGGAGTTCTTTTTTTTTTTTTTTTTTTTTTTTTTTTTTTTTTGGTTTTTCGAGACAGGGTTTCTCTGTGTAGCTTTGCAGCCTATCCTAGCATTTGCTATGGAGACCAGGCTGGCCTTGAACTCACAGAGATCTGCCTGCCTCTGCCTCCCAAGCGCTGAGCTCAAAGGCATGTACCACCACTTCCCAGTCTGCTGAGATTAATTGATTCCAGTCATATTGAAGAGACTAGCTCCCCGATTTGGAGGCCTTAACAGCCTAACATGTGCTTGCTTGGTCACTAGGAGGTCAGATGCTTGCTTTGTGGCCAGGAACCAATCAGAAGTTAGCTGGTGGTGCTATGCTTTACGGCTCTGGGTGTGCTTTAGGGATAAGCGCACAGCAATGATGTGCAGAGCATAACAAACACCCTGGGAGGGCCTATGGGCCATAACAACCAGTTGGCCAATCAACTCAGGGCAAGCCCTCCAAGCCTGGAGGCACACCAATCCTGAGCCTGTGTGTACCCCTAGACACTCCCCTTATGCTGCCTTATAAGATCTCTGTCCTGTGGTTTCTCGGGGTCTTTCCCAAGCCATCTGCCATGGTGGATGGATGAAAGGCCTGAGCTAATGGGTTTAGCTCATTAAACAACTTCAATAAAAGACACATTGCTTTTTCATCGAAATGGGCCTCTTGGTGATTTGGGTGTTCAGAATTTGGGCACAACAATATGTAGTGATCCTATTGCTAAAAGACAATTTATTTAACAAATAACTGCCTCACACATGCAGAATGCACACCGTAAGAAACCTAATATCTTCTTGCCAAGCATTGGTGGGGCACGCCTTTAGTCCTAGCACTTAGGAGGCAGAGGCAGGCGGATCTCTGTGAGTTCGAGACCAGCCTGCTTTACAAAAGCTAGTTTCAGGACAGCCTCCAAAGCCACAGAGAAACCCTGCCTCAAAAAACAAAAACAATAACAAAAAGAAACCTAACATCTTTTAAATTTTATATGTGTATAGGTTCCCATTGGCAGTCTGCATATCCTTTGGGGCAATTGTTATTTTTCTGGCCTTTCATAAACAGTTAACTGTGGTGATATTTTGTTGATTATCTAACAAGCTTGCCTGAAGATCAGAGTGCAAAGCTAGCCACACTAGTTAGCCAGAGACCAAGTAGTGGTGGTACACACCTTTAATCCCAACACTTGGGAGACAGAAGCAGATGGGGTCTGTTAGTTTAAGGCCACCCTGGGCTACAAGAAATTGGTCCAGTCTAAAAGAGAAACAGAGCTCACACAAAGGTGAATTTAGCATTTGGGATCCCATATGTTTAATCCCAGCACTAGAGAGGAATATAAAGTGAGAGGAGCCAGGAGCTCAGAGCAGTCTGAGCTTTGGAGATAGGATCTTTCTTTCAGTCTGAGGTAGTGGTAAGAGCTAGTGGCTGGCTGCTTTGCTTCTCTGATCTTCAGTTTTAACCCCAGTATCTATCTCTGGGTTTTTATTAATACCAACTAGAATCTAAGCTAACTCTAAGAGGTACCATTGTGGTTAACTTCTTTACTACGACTTCTTTGTGTGTGTGAACTTCCTTTTTTATCAGTCTTAGTAAGTTCTTCTAAGGCTTGGAATCTATTAGTGGTTGCTTCTTGTAATGTCTGAACTTTTTAATAGTGACTGCTTACAAAGCCTTCATTAAATCACTACGTTTCTTGTTTTCCTCATTCATGTATATCTCTAAAGTTTTTAACTTGTCTCTCAAGTCTGCCTTGTCTTCCTTATTGATTATCTGTTCGGTATGCAAACGACTTTCTAAATTCAGAACTGTTTCTAATAATTTGTCATAACCTTTTTCAATTGCCTGTAGTTTATCAGCCAATTTCTCATTGCCATATTGCAAAGTCAGGACCATCTTAGTCAGATTCTCATTTTTAGCACCGTTATCAAACCTCCTTCTAAAGGATAGGATATGAATTACCAGACTAATAACAATTATAACTAAAAATGTACCCATCAAAGCTGGGTTGCTTATCTTTCTTAGCATTCTATCAAAAGCAGAAATAGAGCAGACCTCTACTTTCGTGCAAAGTGATGTTGCCCGCCATTGGCGTGGAAATTTTTAAAAATTATTTATTAATCTGGCTAAAATGTAAAGTTACCAAATAAAGTTACATCCGTTAAAATCCACGGAAGATCGTCGTAGGTGTGTGATAATCTCGATCGACCAGCAGGCACAAGATTTTAGGCTGTTATAACGATGTTTGGCCAGCAGATGTCGTAGGTGTGGCGCCAAGGCTTTGGGGGTCCCCGAATTTAACAGACCTGTATTTCTAACCAGAATTGAAACTACAATCAACAACGTTGTGTTAGCCAGAGAGCCTCAGGCTGAGTGCCGGGTGGGCCGGCTGCTAAACCTAGCCGGAGCCGAGCCTGTAGGAAGCTCCGAGTGGGGCGGGATATAAGCGGCTGGGGTCACTGCTCCGCACGTGCCAGGGCTGCCTGGGGGATCAGGAGTGGTGTGTGGCTGCTCCAACAAAGGCGAGGAAGACCCAGGCGGAAGGCAGCTCCGAGACTATGGAACGCGGGCGCCACAAGCCGCTGTGAGCCGGGTGGGGCCACGCGCGCGACCTCCGGGCTGGGGCTGATGCGACCACGGAATGCCTCCGGCGCGATGGGGAGGGAGTTCAGCCGCGAGCGCTACCTTCCTCCTGCCAGAGCTCTCGTGAACGCGATCCGGACTTTTCCCGCCCCTAGGACGTTGCAGAACCGTGCGTGACCGAGGAGCGCTGGGGAAGGGGCGGGAAGCTCCGGGGTGCCGGGCCGGAGCTCCGGAGCCGAGGGGCTGGTGCTCGGAAAGCGCTGGGGCGGCCTCGGGGGCGTGTGTGCGCCGGCGGACAGCCTCACCACCGCCATGGGGCAGGAGGCTGGGCGCAAGCAGCCGGTTCAGATGGGCGCCAGATGATAAAGGGAGTCAAAGGATTACTTTACAGTTTGTTATCAAGCAGAGTCCGTGCAGTAACCACAAGAGAAGACCGAGAATGGAGAACGCGTAAACAGGTCACCAGCGGCTCCTTCCAGGCTTTAAATGGACCGCGCATTCCTCAGCTCCGTCTTCCCAATCATAACTCCGTCCTTTGGACCAAACTGCCCTTTTCATTGGCTAGCGGACGGGACAGAATTCCCGTAATAAAAAACAACCCATGTTATGGTTAGAGGTTACATGACTCATGCTTTCTTGGAAGTTTTCTTCCAAACTCTCACAGAATTCTCCCCACACAGCTTTATTCATGGACATTCCCACATTTCTGACATTCCCACATGCTGAAATTATTTAGGTAAACTTCCATAACCCCTCCCCCCTTCCCTCAGACAGGATTTCTCTGTGTAATGGCCCTGTTTTGAACTTGCTTAGCAGGCCAGGCTCACAGAGGTAACCGGCCTCTGCCTCCCGAGTGTTGGGATTAAAGGCATGCGCCACTACCATCCTGCTGTATCACAGTAACTCTGAGGCTAATGTAAGGCTATACAGTGAGTTTGAGGCCACTTTGCACTAAATGGCAGGACCCTGACTCACAGTTTTGTGGTTTTTTGTTTGTTTTGTTTGTTTGTTTTTTTGGCCGGATGGTGGTGGCACATGCTTTTAATCCCAGCACTCAAGAGGCAGAGGCTGGCAGATATCTGTGAGTTCGAAGTCAGCCTGGTCTACAGGGCAGGTTCCAGGACAGGCTCCAAAGTTACAGAGAAACCCTGTCTCAAAAAGACAAAAAGAAAAAGAAAATAGTTCCTGTGACCCTCCTGTTTCAGCCTAGCAAATGCTGGGATCATAGGCTTTTTTTTTTTTTTTTTTTTTTCCCAATACAGGGTTTCTCTGTGTAGTCTTTGCTGTTCTGGAACTTGATCTGTAGAGCAGGATGGCCTGGAACTCCGTGATCCACCTGCCTCTGCCTCTGATTAAAGGCATGCACCACCACCACCTGGTCTACAATACTTTTGAGAGCATGTTTGGAGGTTCTAGTAGGGAGCTCAGATACTCTTACCCTTGAACTAAGAAATGGCCGTCCTCTGTCCTGGAAGGTCAGAGCCTTCAACTGAACATGTTACAGGAGGGCCACACCTGCAGTGATGAGAGAAGAAGGGAACATCTGCCTAGACAAACAAATTAAGTAAATCCATCCTAGTGAACAAGATGTCACAGTTGGTATAGTCACATCCTCACAATGCTTCTTTTGACACAAACTCCTGGCACACAAGACACAGAGCTGGGTTAGTCAGCACTGCGAGAACAGCCAAGGAATACCTTGACTTGACATTTATCCAATCACTCTGCTCTCACCAGGTGGTGGTGGTAGCAGCAGCAGCTTTGGCCGAGCACGCCTTTAGTCCCAGCCTCAGGAGGCAGAGGCAGATGGATCTCTGTGAGTTCGAGGCCAGCCTGGTCTACAGAGCGAGTTCTAGGACAGCCTCCAAAGCTACAGAGAAACCCTGCCTTGAAAAACCAAATAAATAAATGCACAAAGCTGAATATACAAAACAAGGTTGGTTCAAAATGTGCCAGTGGCAGACACAATTTTTTATTTCTCTTCTTTTTATTTTATTTTACTTATTATGTATACAACATTCGGTTTCCATGTATATCTGCACACCAGAAGAGGGCACCAGATCTCATAACAGATGGCTGTGAGCCACCATGTGGTTGCTGGGAATTGAACACAGGAGCTCTGGAAGAACAGCCACTGCTCTTAACCTCTGAGCCATCTCTCCAGCCCCCTATTTCTCCTTTTCATCAGTTGAAAAATTAGTTTTGTATACCTGCTTTCATTTATGGCATAAAATATTTCTGGTTAAAAATGTAACCCTCTTAGGCACAAAATTTGTGACATCCTTTAAGAGCCAGTAGTGCCTATTTTACTGATTTGTCCACTTCCCCTCACCCCTCTGCAAAACAAAACAACAACCAAATCCAAAACTTACTTTGTTGGAATAAGATTTCTCATTGGTAGGTCTGGAGAGATGACACTGCCTGTTCTTCCAGAGGTCCTGAGTTCAATTCCCAGCAACCACATGGTGGCTCCCAACCATCTGTAATGTAGTCTGGTGCCCTCTTCTGGACTGCAGGGATACATGCAGGCAGAACACTGTATACATAATAAATAAATCTTTTTTTTTTAAAAAAAGATTTCTCATTCATTGGTATACACGAAGATATTTACTAAAGAGACCCACACAGAAATTACATACTGCCTGCCTAGTTGCCTATTGATGGATTAGTTCCATTTGTAAAGTTTCTTATTCTTATTTTTTTTCATTTTATGTGAATTTGTGTTTTGCTTACATATCAGTCTGTGTGAGGGTGTCAGATCCCATGGAACTGGAGGTACAGACAGTTGTGAGCTGCCATGTGGGTGCTGGAAATTGAACCTGGGTCCTCTGGAAGAGCAAACAGTCAGAACTCTTAACCAAGGAGCCATCTCTCCAGCCCCCTCCATTTGCAAAGTTTTATATATCAGAAAAGCTTTGAATTTGACCAGTCTGTTTTTTAACCACTTTTGAAAAGGTGGCATTTAATTTCAGCTCTATTCAACCTTAAAAAGCTGATGCATTAGGTAGCACAGCGACACCGAACAGAGCTGAGCATTTTAGTTTTGAGACACAGTCTCGCTGTGGAGGGTATGCTGGCCTCGAAACGCTCCACCACACGTCTGAAGGGAAAATCGGAGCGCTCAAGGTCCGTCATAGTCGCAACGAGATCAAAGCACCAGGGAGAAACCCAGCAAGCTCCACCCCCAGAGCTTTGCGGAGCAGGCACCGCCTACTCGCGGGCGCCTGGGCGCGCATGCTCCCGTTGGATGCCTCTCACATGACTCGCCTTGCTGTTCACGTGATGTTGCTTCCGGAGGCGGGGGCCCTCGGCCAAGATGGCGGCCTACCTTCAGTGGCGGCGCTTCGTCTTCTTCGAGAAGGAGCTGGTGAAGGAGCCGCTGGGTAATGATGGGGCCGCTCCGGGGGCCGCGCCGGCCTCTGGATCCACTGCTTCCAAGTTCCTTTGCCTCCCTCCGGGCATCACTGTCTGCGACTCTGGTCGAGGGAGCCTGGTCTTTGGAGATATCCTTCTTGTGGAGCTGTCCCTTTCCTCCACCGAAGCCCAAAGAGATTCCTCCGGCTGGAATGGAATCTGTCAGTGGTGCTTTGTGCACTGGCAATTAGATGCGAGCCCAGACCTCTTCTGTGGTCTGATGGGAGAAAGAAGGAAGTCCATTTTCTGGCTTGTCAACTGAGCAGTCCTGGGGCAAGTCATTTAACCCTCGGCTTGAGTTTCCTTTTCTGTGAAAGGTTGTTAATGCCAATTTGACAAGGTTAAGATCAGTCCACTCCCAAGCAGATGCAATTTGCCTTTAAAAGATGTGTGTGTAAAGTTGTTGCCTTCCCTGTCTGATATTGTAGGCAAGGTGGAGAAAACCCTTAGAGTTTTTAAAGAGGTATGTGCCTGTTCGTTGAAACCTAGATTCTGGTGTTGTAAGTACAGTCAGCCTGATGTCTGAAGCCTCAGGTAGTGACAAACGACATGGGTGCTACTTTTGCTCATAGAGATGAACGTCAACTTATGATGGGTTACATCCAGGCGATTCCATCATAAATGGAAAGTACTATAATCCAAAAATGCATTTAACATTCCTGTCTACTAGTGTAAATAGCAATATGGTACATTGAGTGATATCAATTTTTCCTTCTGATTCCATAGCTGACAGGAAGCTAATCCTGCTCAGCATCATAACAGAGTATCTTTTTTTTTTTATTGTTGGACAGGGTCTCATTTTGTAATCTTGGCTAGCCTTAAACTCACAGAGATCTGCCCATGTCTGTCACCAGAGCACTAGGAGTAAGGGCTGGTCTCAAAGAAAACATCTTACCCATATTACTAGCCTAGGAAAGGCTGACAGTTCAAAGCTTTGCCCCTCAGCCTCAGCCTCAAAGAAGGATTTCTACATGTCATTTCTGTAACATTGTAACTTCAAATGGAAAATACACACTGACCATACAATTTCTAACTAAACCTCTGTAAGAGATTAGCAACAATAATGCTAGAACAGAACAGTTGTAATAGTATTCTATAATTGGATTTTCTCTTATATGTGTGTGTGTGTGTGTGTGTGTGTGTGTGTGTGTGTGTGTGTGTGTGTGTGTGTGTTTCATCCCCCCCTTTTTTGGTTTTTGTTTTTGTTTTTTCGAGACAGAGTTTCTCTGTGTAGCTTTGGCTATCCTGGAACTCACTCTGTAGACCAGGCTGGCCTCAAACTTTGCCTCCTGAGTCAGCAGCCGGGATTTAAGGCGTGCACCCACCATCGCCTGGCATTTCCTTTTCGGTTACAACTTTTCTTTTTTCTCAGAAAATGTTTTAATTCCTAATCTACTACAGAGATACTTTCAGAGTATGGTTGTCTGCAGATAATTTAAAGCACAGAAAATGCAGCCACAGATAAGAGGGTGGGGGTGGAACATGTCACTCCTTGGAAAGAAAGCTTCTTGACTACCCTGCACATATGGAAGGCCAGATCTGGTTCTTGCCACGTTCCCTACAGCTTACAGGCTTCCAGGCCTACAAACTACGTGTGACACACCTATATCAACTGAAGCAGCACAATATTCTGGCATCAGTTGGTGAGGATGAAGAGGGTATTAACCCTTTGGTAAGTCCCAGAAAAGAAAGATCCAGAAGCCTAGGACTGTGTTTTGGTGGAGGGAGACTAACCCTCAGTGTCTGTGGTCTGTCCCCAGGTAAAGATCTGGAACCTGGAAAAGAGAGATGGTGGCAATCCCCTGTGCACTCGAATCTTCCCTGCCATCCCAGGGACAGAACCAACTGTTGTGTCTTGCTTGACAGTTCATGAAAATCTCAACTTTATGGCCATTGGTAAGCAGCAGAAAGGGGGAAAACCAACATTCCTAGATTATTTATTTATTTATTATGTATATAGTATTCTGTTTGCATGTATACCTGCAGGCCGGGAGAGGGCATCAGATCTCACTCATTATAGATGGTTGTGAGCCACCATGTGGTTGCTGGGAATTAAACTCAGGACCTCTGAGTGCTCCAGTCTGTGCTCTTAACCTCTGAGCCATCTCTCCAGTCCTAAAGTACATTTTCTTTGAAGTAGTTTTTGCAGTTCATTCATGGTGTTCTTCTGGTACTGACCCAAGGCCTTGTAGATTTATTAAAGTTTGTAATAGAAAGATATTTAGTTTTGTTCTTGGAAAATGAATCAGTGAATGGGTTGGGCATGGTGGCGTATGCCTTTAATCCCAGCACTAGGAGACAGAAGCAATAGGATCTCTGAGTTCGAGGTTGACCTGGTCTACAGAGGGAGTTCCAAGACAGCCATGGGTACACAATCTTGATCCCCACATCACCCCCAAAAAAAATAAAAAAGAGAGAGAAAATGAGTCAGTGAATACAGACACTGAGGTTACCATGCTACCATTAGTGATATTGTAGGTACAGGAAAAGCATGTCATTTCTCATGAGTGCCTCTGGTGGCCTTTTAGCTGTTTCAATTCCTGTATCTTTTCTTTTTTTCTTTCTTTTTTTTAAGGGCTTCATTTTTTTAAAGCCTATTGAAGTAGGATTTTTTATTAATTTTTATTTTATGTATATTGGTGTTTGCCATTGGTGTCCGGGTCCCCAGGACCTGGAATTATAGACAGCTGTGAACTGTCATGTGGGTACTGGGAATTGAACCTGGGTCCTCTGGAAGAGTAGTCGGTGCCCTTAACTGCTGAGCCATCTCTCCAGCCCCAATTCCTGTATCTTTTCATCCACACAAACACTGTTTTCTGGTCTTCAGGTTTCACAGATGGCAGTGTTACTCTGAACAAGGGAGATATCACCCGGGACCGCCATAGCAAGACCCAGATTTTGCACAAGGGCAGCTATCCTGTCACTGGACTGGCCTTCCGCCAAGCAGGAAAGGTCACTCACTTGTTTGTTGTGACAACTGAAAATGTCCAGGTATGATTAAGGTCACATAAGGAACTAACAGGAGAGGTGCAAGTCTTAAATTTTTATCATAGAGCCTTAAATCATTTGTCCAAGTTAATATTTCATTTTCATGTAGGAGAATAGAAGAGGTAGACTTAGGAAAAGAACTCTGTGCTTGTAGTAGAAGAGCTTGATTCTCTATTGTTAAGCACAGTTAGAGAGATAGCTTTACCTTCTGGTTTCTGATATTCCATTACATTCCTAATGTAACAAATGTCCCCCCAAATGTTTATTTATGTATATGTCCCTAAGTGTAGGCCTTCAGAGGCCAGCTGGAGTTACAGGCAGTTGTGAACTGCCTTTGGAAAATGTTTGGTACCAAGGATTAATCCCGGAGCCCCATGTTCACTGTGCTCACACTGTCACTGAACTGCCTCTCCAAACTAGGAATACCCTTTTGGTAAAACAGCAAAGAATTATTGTGTTTTTTGACTCGCATGACTCTAGTGATAGCTTGTGATACTATGAAAAGAAGAGAATATGGCTCCACAGTACATCCCTGTAGGTAGCTAGATGAAGGTGACTGGAGAAGGCCAGTTTCGGGGGGGGGGGGGAGGATAAAATGCTAAGTGGAGAGAAGGTGAGAGAGTCTAGATAGAAATCAATGTCTATAGTCAGATGTGGTGATGCACACTTGTAGTCCCAGCACACAGGAGGCAGAGGCAGGTGGATCTCTTTGAGGCCAGCCTGGTCTACAGAGCAAGTTCCAGGACGGCCAGGATTACAATGAAAAACCCTATCTTGAAAATAACAAACAAAGAAGTAAAAAGATTGTGTTTATGAAGGCTTAGGTGCTGCTCCTTCAAAGGAGACTGCTAACTTTTTCTTTCCTTTGGCAGTCCTATATAGTTTCTGGAAAAGACTACCCCCGTGTGGAGTTGGACACCCATGGTTGTGGCCTGCGCTGCTCAGCCCTGAGCGACCCTTCTCAAGACCTGCAGTTCATTGTTGCCGGAGATGAGTGTGTTTACCTTTATCAGCCAGATGAACGTGGGCCCTGCTTTGCCTTTGAGGGCCATAAGCTCATCACCCACTGGTTCAGAGGCTACCTTG